TACTTTTTTTGTGTTCTAAGATGATCAGTTTGTAGGCTTCTGCTCATCCTTTGCTCTTTAGGGATTGGTTATAGATCGTTAGTCCAATTTGGATCTCGGGGAGCTTCCTGGCCGTGTATCCAAATGTTAGCTGGATCATCTCTGAGCTACTTGCTGATTGATGGTGCTCCATCCTGCTGTAAAATGCACACAGTTTAAAGCTCGTCACAGACTTGTTGTAAGGACCTTTTTAGTCTGACCATGACCGTACATCCTCAGAAATCAGTACAGAGCAACGTAGAGCATGCATATGACTGTAGGACTGACTATGATGTCCTACTCTGGGAGCTCCTTCTCATTAACTGCATCGTATCTGTTTCCTGTTTGCTCGGCCTTCTTCTCTTACGTCTTTGTTTAGTCCTCTTGTTTTTGTAGTTTTATCCAGTCTGCCTTATGTTTTTTTTTCCTGGTCACCTTTTCACACACAATCCACTGCTGTTCTCTCTGCTCTTTCCTTTCTGTTTCCACTCTCCCTTTTTTTTCTCCATGTTGCTGCTGTCTGTTAATAAGCCTCCCGGCATTGCTCTCTAACCTTACCGCAGGAAGTTTCCTGTGCTGAAACAGAGCCCACGCTGGATTGCTTCCTGGCAAAGTGCGTTGTGGGATGCGTGTATTTGGGCCCCCTTCTTCCGTCTTCTCCTCCCTTCTGCTCCCTTTGCTGCTTCCTCCTTTGGGCTCTGTGCAGATGGCTGAGGCCGGCAGACCGGATCTCTGAGGGGTTTTGGCAGAGCAGCACCTCTCTGCGGCCCTGGAGAGAGCATACCACAGCCATGACCTCGTGACCTTGGCTGCACTGCTGCCTGCCTCGGCTTCACTGCTCTCACAAGCCAGCCACGAGGGACAAACTTACAGCTGGTGTATGCAATGCGGATGGCAGTCTGCTTCATTATTGATACGAAGTCCATGACATAGTATTTTAGTGGATTCTAGCTCCATCTCTGCTATGTTATCCATTACTAACAGTAATTTACATTGGGAAGATATGATAGCATTTTACATCAGCTTCAGAGGGTGAAAATGTGACATATTCATTGTCACACATACTTCAGGCAATAGGAAATGTAGCCTCGCTAAGATTTCTGCTATGAGCCAAGAAGCGGCTCCTATGAAAAATGCAGAGACCAAGTAAGTAAGTTCCTGTGTTTGTGAAACACCTGTATCCCATTCCCTGACACTTTCGTGGGATGCCCGTTGACAAGCTGAGGGTCAGAGCTTGACAGGCTGTGTGCAGTGCTTCAGATAACCTAGGGCTTCCCGGGCCTTATCGTGGTGGTCGTGCCACTATCTGAATACAGAGGTCTAGAAGGGAAGAAATAGGAAGCTGACAATCTAGACAGGGTTTCATTTTATATTGATTGCTCTTTGTGAAAACTTCCTTTGTTTGACAGGAGGGGGGGAGCTAAAGTGGGGTGGGGGTGGCTGGCTGAAAGTGAGCACTAGGTTCCTATTACTTGTGTGACAATGACATTGGCGGCCCAAGATAACAGCTGTCCAACTCCCAGAGGAAGTGTTTGAGGCTGGGTGATAAGTGTGATGTAAGAAATGAGTAGTTCTGCTGTGTGTGGGTGTCGTGGACGTTCTGATCGGACAGTGTTGAAAGTCTGTGTTTGTGCGTTTCTATCCTTGTGAAAGAGAAGAGGCGAGCCTGAGTCATACAGTAACTCATTGGGTTACACCAACAGTAGAAAATGATATGAGGTGGCAGGATCTGTGTCCGCTGAAATAAATATGGGTCAGTTTGTGTGCGTCCTGTTATGTGTCTTAAAAATAATCACAGAGGCTAAATCCGCCTCAGTACTCAGAAACTGGTGTTAATTTACTGTGATAACACTTGATCGAATCTCAATAGCACAGCAAAGCATATTGGCATAAGCTACAAAACCTATGTGTTGTTTGCCTATGTAGATTATATTT